CCACTGTTTTTAAGAAGAATACGAATGTCTTAAAATATCCAATCTCTGATCATTACTCTCCCGACCAAATCTCCCAACTGGTTCAGTCTTTGGAACTTGCTTATTCTACACTACAAGAAAGGGTTCGTTTTGTTGAAGCACTGAAACAGAAAGAGACAAACTTGGATCATCAGAAACAAAAGGAGACAAAACTGGATCATAAGGGTTTAACTCCTCCAATGTCTATGAACCTTCAAGATCATAAGGGTTTAACTCCTCCAATGTCTCTGAACCTTCAAGATCATAAGGGTTTAACTCCTCCAATGTCTCTGAATCTTCAAGATCATCAGATTTTAACTTCACCAATGTCTCTGGATCTTCCCGATCATCATCAGACTCAATCCTTAAACCCTAGCCAGTTCTCGCTATTTATGTACAACCATGGAGATGCTACTCTCTCTCAAATCCCTCTCTCTGCAGCATCAAATTTCTACCAATCTGCATCCACTCAATTCACCAATTACTCTGCAGAACAAGAATCTGGATTGAAGAATCACTTGATGCATCAAGAACTTAATGGTTTTGATCAGAACATGTGCATGAGTGACATGATCAACAGCAACAACTTTCAACATCCTTGCGTCTCAAACACACAAGATTACTTACAAGAATCTGTGAATAAGTATGAGTTGAATCAGTTGATGCAGCATGAGATGTATGGTTATGACCAGAACATGTATACGAGTGATATCACCAACCGAAACTTTCAACATTCTTGTCTCTCAAACACAGTTTCAGATCAGTTCTGTTCTAATTTTCAGAATCCTTATGGTAACACTAGCTTCCCTCAAGATTTTCAGGATATGTCTTGAAGCTATGATCTACTTCAGACATCTACTCTACCATCTCTCTCCACCATTTCTAACAGTTATCTTCTTTGCGACAACCCGAGCTTTCTCTGATAACAAACAGACTGACAACAAAAAAAGTGTTGAAGCAATTACCTCCTTCACAGTCAATGGTGAAGTATCAGAGAGTTCCTGCGTTGGTTTTTATTTGAGTATTGAGTACAAATGCATATGTGTAACACTTTTTCTTAGGAAAAGGAACATCTTGTTGTTGTATGAATTTAATTTGTGGTTTTTGGTCTATCTCAAGCTAATTAATGGAATTAAGCTCAATCATCATCCACATCTAAAATATCTAATAACCATCTCTAACAATTCACTTGTTTCTATAATGTCCCTACTGAGAGACAAGATCCAAAATCAAAAGAGGATTCTTATTGTCTGGAAGCTGTTTTGTAAGCACAAGCAACAGTACTATCATTTGGTACTTTCTGCACTAACAAACAAACAAGCAACAATTCTAACCATCTCTTGTCAACTAGCAGGAGAGACCTTCCCTAACTAACGACTCGTTTGTATAATCGAACCCATTTCTAATCTCGACCCAGTTCATGGAATCTCCTCAAAGCAACGAAAAGAGACCCCAATCTAGTTTCTGAAATTCTCGTTCCAAATATCCCAACTTTCGACAGACAAGAAGACAAAGGAGAAAACGGGAAAGAACAGTAACCCAGCAAAAAAGATGCAAAACCCACCAACCTTAAGCGATCTAAGTCCACCATTGTCTCCGGCAAATCGATTCTGAGACTCCAACACTGGCGGAGACTGTACCAGCTAAGCTCATTGCAGAAGAGCAAACCAAAAATAACTGAACAGTAAAAACGAGTTATTAAACCGGCATTTATTATTTTATAATCCGGTTTCGTCGATAAGAATGATAGAACTCAAACAGATTGATAAATGAAAGGAAAATTACTTAGAATAACTCATTTTTATCTTTTATTACTAAACTAGTTTCCTTTCTAAGTTAATTAAAAGAAATTTAAGCAAAAGACAAATATACCAACATAAGTTTTAACTACGATTGTGTCATTAAGAACTTTTTTTAAAACTAATTTTTTTATCGTATAAATATTGTGCTATTGTAGACTTATGATCGTATCATATTGTGTTATGGTAGATTTTTGTACTAGTTATTGTAGATTTATGATAAAATTATATTGTGTTATGATAGATTTCATAGTAGACCGTACACTTTGTATCAGTAATTGCAGACTTATGATCGTAAGATATTGTGTTATGCGATGTTATT